CCCGTGCAATAAAACGACAAAGAAAAAATTCAAAATTCAATTACCCCCCCGTGGGTAAGCTCGCACCCTTACGGTACTCATGTTGGGCGCCAACACCGTGAGACTTCTGAATCACCGCGAAAAGCAAAGCTTGGTTTCGGTCGGCACAATGCCAACAACCCAAAACATATGCATACCGCACTGTGTCGCGAAGAAGGTGTTCAAGCTGGGGGACTGCTAGAATAGGTATAGTGGCAAAACCGCATGGCTTCTTGCAATGAAAGTTGGCGCTTTGAAGTTAGCGTACATGCGAGGGTCGACCGGCGTGGCAATAAACGTTTTGGCTTGAAGAATCGTGCAGCTCTTTGGGCTGGTTGGCCTCGGAAAAGGCGATATAAAATCGGCAAATGAGGCACAACGGAGGACCGAACGTTTGATCCGCGCGTTCTGCAGAGTCGAACTTTGGACAGGAATGCTACCCTCCGTGTCAAATTCAAATAGCGTGTTTTTTCGCGGAACAACATGGTTAAAACGACGCACCTCACAGCCGAGAGAGAAAGTTAGATTGCCTCATTGCCGTCGCGTCGTCGACGATGCCGGCAGTCGCATCGCTCTCTCCCTAGCTTGCCACGAGGATGGTTTCGATATTGTCGCTGCTGCCCCATTCCCCTCCTCGCGTCCTTCTCTCGCCCTGCAGCTGGCGTCAAAGGCAGTACGGGAACGGTACAACGTGGCCGTGCCTGTCTACTTGCCCGAATGCACACAGTTGACCTACAGCCGTGGGAAAAAAGGGGGAAAAACTTGTGGGCACAGGGTGTTCGATGATTCGGGTGGCCCAGTTCTATGTGCTTGGAGTTTAGAGCGGGTGGCCCATGACGGGGCGTGGATGGGTAACAACGTGTTGGGAAACGTATTGTATACGTGTTGTATTAATCGGGGGCGTGCTCGTGCTCGTCAAACCATCACGGTATCGAGTCACGCCTTCATGCTTTCTGACACAACGAATCTCTCTGAATCCTCACCAAAAGCCTCTCACAACCAAGGAAACTATGTAGAAAGTTCCTGTTCCTCCGCATCTCATCACTGCAGTTTTCGTACGTACGTACTTAACATCTCAACCGTCATACTATGCTACGAGTACCCCCAATATATCTAATAGCCCCCCTGCTCGTATGCATCGTCATGCTACGAGAAAAATCAAATTTCTCTCTACCATCTCTCCAAAACAAACCAAGAAAATTCTCAAAACAAACAAAAACCAATATCTTCGCCAAAACAATCCAAAATCCTCCAAGTCCATCACAAGAAAAATCAAACACAATCAAAACTCCTCCAAAACAATCAAGAAAAACCAAACACAACCAAAACTCCTCCAAAACAACCTAGAACAATCCCAACACAACTCCAACACTCTTACCACCTTCACCAGACTCTCTCTTTCTCTTGTCCAATCTCGTCTCTCTCTTTCTCTCTCCGCTACAGAATACGAATCGACCCCAAAACACTTCCTTCACTGCAAGTTCATCACAAAGTCACGGTGCAACGCACAAGGCTCCTTGCAAATAGCCTTCGTCAAGAAATCTGCATGCTGAAATTGCGTCGGCACATGAGTAATCGAAATCTCTTTCCTCTCAACCAGCTCCCTGATAAAGTGATGCCGTACATCGATGTGCTTCGAGTTGGAGTTCGTGAT